ACTGACATATATAGATATATATCATTCTGAATAGTCCGGAAATGGATGAGAAGCACATCCTTCATTCCATTGTTAATCAAATTTATTACATTACAATAAAAACTTGTTGTATGTGTATTGATTAAATATGTTCATTCAGTTGAATGTTTTATATCTTCGTTGTCTTTGATGTTGCACTTTTCATTGATTTGCACTTCTCATTGATTCAACGAAGAAATACAAACCTACATACATAAATATCAGAACGCGTTTTTTGGATATTAAAGTAATTTTAAATAGTTGAGATCATGTATCCATTGAAGCTAGATCACCGTGGAAAGCCTGGAGGCACTAGATGGCCGTTTCCTTCTACTGTGGGACTCCTCAACAGTGCACATCTACGATTCCGTCTGAAGACAATGGTGGATGTGTCGCTCAAATTCGTGGTTTAGTTGAAGTTAGACACTAACACCGTTGGATGCTGGCTCAGTGGTCTAATTGTTAAGTACTCGCGCGCGAGACCAATAGGTCCTAGGTTTGAATCTCGCGAGGCGAGATCATGGATGTGCACTGATGAGGAGTCCCATACTAGGACTGTTACTTTATGAAAATGATGTTGTACCTGAAGTACTAATGATGAGTACTACAAAACCTAACTAAAAACCTTTCACTAATTGTTTTATCCATTTATAATAAATCATCATTTATGACTGATACGCCCAGTTTAAAGTTTACTCATCATTCAATAAAACAAAATGAAACCACAAACTAGACCCGAATACAATCATGTTCAGTAGTGGCTTTATTCATACTGATCAATTTTGATTTATATCATTCGTAGATGCATGTAAAATTGATCATATCTGCTATCTCACAATGTTTAAATAGAGCAAGTTTATAAATGTTGACTTCACCGTCAACTGAATTATCTCTTGTTACCATAACGGTGGATTAACTTGCTCAATTCATGATGCTTTAATGAAACCCTCAACTCACTTACTTACGCCTATTACTCCCAATAGAGCATAGGCCGACGACTAGCATTCTCCAACCCACTCTGTCTTGAGCCTTCATCTTTTGTAGTTCCATCCAATTCTTGTTCATTTTTCTCATATCTATCTCCATTTCCCGGCGTAATGTGATCTTCAGTATTCATCTCCTCCTCCTTCGACCTTGAGGATTCCATGTGACAGCTTGTCTTGTGATAACGCAGTTCGGTGCTTTCCTCAATGTGTGTCCTATCCTCTTCCAGTGCTTCTTTCTGGTTTCTTCCTCCAATAGGATCTGGTTTGTTATCACCCACAGTAGGTTGTTGCTAATAGAAACCCTCAATTAACTTCATATAACTTCATGTATTTCGTACATCGAAACATTCAGTACGCAACAATGATGATGATGGTGTTAACGTTGTTGTTGTTGTTGTCGTCGTCGTCGTTCCATGAAATATTTCAATTTAAAATGACGTCAACTGTCTTTCAGGAGTATTCTTTTCAAAGACGTGGATGATGATATTTGTTTGTTCTTGTTACTACAGTTATGAAATGATAGTAGATGTTCGTTCGCACATATCTACATTTTGATTGAATATACAACACTCAGTCAGCTGACCTTCTCACTCGAATGTGATTAGTGACAATCATTATCCAATCATTATTATCCACTATTATTCGTTATATTTTCATTGGTTATGTTTGTTGATGTGAATGATGTTGTGCAAGTTTGTGCAATCAACATACTCCAATATTGTTTAACTCATTTATTCACATGAATTAGTAGATGGTTAGTTCATGAAGAAGACAGATGGATGGATCGATGTACTTTGTGTTATGGAATGTTCTTGACACAAACTTGTAGATCTAGTTAATTGATGTATTTGAATTCAGCATTGTTTGTTTTATTTAAGTAGAGTCGGTGAGACTATATTTTTAATGGACGAACTTTGAGCGGTGAAGCTAAAGTAACATTGAGAGTGTCTACCTGCTTACTAAGGCTAAATGGGAGTTATAAAGCAATTTAAAGAATAAGGATTATAATTTACAGTTGATGATTGGGGTTATGAATTAGATTTGGTGTTTTCATCACTAACTGACAAGAGCTATAATACCTTTGTTGCTACCTTGATGTGTTGGTCGGGATTGCCTATCGTGATTAAGCAACTCAGCTATACTGGATGGAACAACTGTCCCTAAAGGTCCTACCATGCCAGACAGATCGATTGAAGAGAGGTAAGAATAAAAGCAACAAATCCAAGGTCCAACGATGAAGTCGTACTGCTGATTGTACAGAGGTGTGACAGCAGTAAGCTATTTCCTTCAGACAGACAGCATGACAGTGATGCTGCCTTCCCACAAGGAGGGGTGGGGCTAGAAAAGGTCAACTCTAAAAATGCACACCTCGCCTTATCCAACGGATATCGGTCTACGGTGGTAAGCTCTCAACAAGTACGGAGCTAACACGAGAATTACTCATAAAAACGTCGTGTGTGACCGACCTCAAGCAGCTGTCCCTTGAGCTCTGTGGTCACGCTCTCAGGTCACTATGACCAACTCTAACCCAATTTCCTTTTCAGGTAACTTCAGGAGAACCCTTCCACGGTGTGGGCAACCTGGAAGTGATAGCCAACCTCATACTTCTAACAGCACTATTTAACCAAATGGGTGAATAAGTTTCACGCCATAATCTAAGACCTGTTATCATAAATGTGATTGGTTCGTCCGTAAGTTATAATCTCACCGTAGAGGCAAAGTTTTTTTCTTCCTTCCAATATGGCGTATGCTTGAATCTCATTATCGTTAATGTTACTGAAAAGTTAGTAAACATCGAGTGAACATTTCTTTTCTAAGTGACGATTCAAATTAGATTAGCTTATATGTTGTAAATTGTATCGACTGTACCTTGATCAATTGACCCCGTAAACCAAACAATTACTTACTTACTTATGCCTGTTACTCCTAGCGAAGGAGCATAGGCCGCTCACCAACATTCTCCATCCAACCCTGAAACCAAACAATATGAAAATGATAAATTTATGTAACTACTCTTATTCTAATCCATTAATATTGAATGCTAGTTAAGTACACAACTGATCGGTTTCGTATTTTATCAACAATTAAGTGCTTCATTGACGTTTAAATGTTCTACATCCTATTCCATATTTGAATCACCAGAACTGTGATTCAATAATATGTCTTGCTGATGAGCTCACCAATTAATAAGAAACACAGCTTGGATTCACCATTAACAATTATCCATACTATTTGTACACATGCATAAAATGAATTCACCATAAACATTCTGCCTATACAACCGGGTCTGTTGTGAGATAGTAACTCACTGAAGACAATAGTGGATGTGTCGCTCATTTTCGTGGATTAGTTGAAGTTAGACATTAACACCATTGGATGCTGGCCGACTCAGTGGTCTAGTTGGTTAAGCGCTCGCACGTGAAACTAGTAGATCCTGGGTTCGAATCTCTCAGGGGGGCGAGGTCGTGGATGCGCCTTGTTGAGGAGAAGTCCCATAATAGAACGAAACGGCCGTCCAGTGCTTCCAGATTTTCCATGGTGATCTAGCTTTAACTGACTCATGATCTTAACCATTGAAATTATACATAATTAGTTCATATCTTTTTACCTTCTAATTTGTTTTGTCTCTGATTCATAATCGATTGTATGTATGTATGTGTGTATGTGTATGTGTGTGTACTGGTGCTAGTGCTGGCACATTTATAGATCTCCTAATGTTGCTTCAATTAATTCAAAATTCAGATTAAGTAAATGGAATTGTAACAGTGGTAACAATAGTATAGTTTTGTTGCTATGGTGTAAATTTTTTTTTTAGAAAACCAGAAACATCCACCTACTCGACTCAGTCAGTAAATTTTTCTCTTACTTTAATGAAATTAGTGTTCAAAAATTTATTGATTTTGTTTGAACACATAAGTATTGATACAAACAAGTACTGAACATATATATATGTTACACATAAATCACTTGATTTGTAAGTGGGTTGTGATACTGTCAGGATATCCAGACTGAACTAGGGGGTCACACATGGAACCTTCGACCTAAAGGTTTGATTTAAAAGACAGTAGAGCAACATTAAGGGATTCAGTCCTATGGTAGTCGATGACCAACGATTAGTCTATACACCTTCATGTTCCTTCAGTATCATGGAGCCTATATGCACCATTGGTGGTCCGTCAACCCGGGTAAATCACCGGACATTCAGTTTTCGTCTTCTCAATTTCTTAATCAACAATAATGCCACGAGAGGTCAGTGAGTAGGAATTCCCTGACAGTGGTTGTATACACAGTGGTATTGCGTGCTGTTAGAGATATGAGGGTGGCTATCAATTCCAGGTTGCCCACACCGTGGAAGGGTTCTCCTGAAGTTACCTGAAAAGGAAATTGGGTTAGAGTTGGTCATAGTGACCTGAGAGCGTGACCACAGAGCTCAAGGGACAGCTGCTTGAGGTCGGTCACACACGACGTTTTTATGAGTAATTCTCGTGTTAGCTCCGTACTTGTTGAGAGCTTACCACCGTAGACCGATATCCGTTGGATAAGGCGAGGTGTGCATTTTTAGAGTTGACCTTTTCTAGCCCCACCCCTCCTTGTGGGAAGGCAGCATCACTGTCATGCTGTCTGTCTGAAGGAAATAGCTTACTGCTGTCACACCTCTGTACAATCAGCAGTACGACTTCATCGTTGGACCTTGGATTTGTTGCTTTTATTCTTACCTCTCTTCAATCGATCTGTCTGGCATGGTAGGACCTTTAGGGACAGTTGTTCCATCCAGTATAGCTGAGTTGCTTAATCACGATAGGCAATCCCGACCAACACATCAAGGTAGCAACAACGGTCAGGTTTGTATACATATGGTCATGTGAGAGTATTTGGAGAGAGAGAGAGAGTGAACTGAATCTTGACCGTTATCAGTTCATTTGTGAGTATCAATATTATTTATTATAATTGATTCATCTTTTATTTGTTTTCTTTCTATTTTTTCCTTTTTTTTAGTTAACTTTATTCAATCCAACTGGTCTTGTTGTAAAAATGTTTGTTATTGTATATGATTTAGTTGATATGCCACCAAATTGTCAAACATTTTTAAGACAACGTACTGTTTATATGCCAATTCAACAACATCATTCATTTCATCATTCATCTTATATCCTTTCTAATTCTACACATTCATCACAATCAACATCTTCTAATTGTCCGTCTATTACATCAATGATAAATACAAATGGATCCACTAATAATAATAATAATAATAATAATAATAATAATAATAATAATAATAATACCGTATCCAATTGTACTACAGATCATTTATGGAATAGATCATCTAAATCATTCACTGAACCAAATACACCATCATTTCTATCATATTCATCATTATCTTCATCATCATGTTCATGTTCTTCTATGACATCAATTGGTTCATTAAGTTCATATGGTTCACAGAATGCTGTTAATAATAATACTACTACTTCTACTTCTACTGCTACTACTACTAATACTACTGGTTATACTGGTGTATCATTGAATACACGTAATGAATTACCTGCCTACTTACGATATCTAGTTCATTTAAGGTAATAATATTCATGGTTTGTTTGAAAAAACAACAACTAACTAACAACATGAACTGGTTAATCATGTTATTTATATACATAGATCAATAAATTGTTTTTGATTGAGATCATGAATCGAATAATGTTAGATGGCCGTTGGAAACCTGGAAGCATTGAATGGCCGTTTCGTCCTACTATGGTACTCTCCGTCAGTGCGCATCCACGATCTCATCTCGTGGGATTCGAACCTAGGGCCTTCAGTCTTGTGCGCAGATGCTTAATTTATTGGAACACTGAACCGGCATCTAATGATGTTAGTGTCGAAATGGCGCGATGGTTTAATATCAAGCGGTTCATGATCTCAATCAAAAAACTTTATAATCTTCATAACCCCTATACTAATAGATTGTTGACAATTATAGCTCACAATTATTAGTCGTTATATCTGTGTGTGTATATATTATTGTTATTCCAATAGTTGAGATCACGAGTCAATTCAAACTAGACTACTATGAAAAACCTTGACGTACTGGACGGCCATTTTGCTACTCCTCATCAATGCGCATCCACCATCTTATGTCGTGAGTTTCGAACCCAGGATCTATCAGTCTCACGCTTGAAAACTTAATCTGTAGACGATTGGTGTTAATTTTCTGGTGGAAATACCTCATTACTATCACATTTATAGTACAGTCGATAATAGACTCCTTCATCGGAATTTAGTATTGCTACTTTAATTCTTACTGCTCTTCAGCTAACATTCTTAGCCATAGTATGACAGACCTAAAAGAACTTGCGTTCCGGTCAACACGCTTTGCAAACTCAACCAACCACATACCAAAGTAGCAGTTACAATCTATACATATATCGTTTGGTGTTTATTGGTTGGAAATTATCTACAGGAAGTCTTTATTAGGTTTGTTTTCATGTTAGTTAACATTCATCAACTATAGTACCTTTGATTTCCTGAAGGAGAATAAACTCTCTCGGTTGGGCTACACACTTTCCTCTTGTCAGTCAATCGTAATCAACAGAAAATATGTAAGTGCGACATTACAGTCAGTCAGTCACTAACAACGTAGAACTTCGTTCGTACGTACGTATATCAATTCGAGTTGTCATACCACATTAGCACAGACATACAGTTGTCGATTCAAATCCCGTAGTGGTAGAAGTAATAAGAGTATAAGTAGTAATCGGAAACATTAGGGTTTGAAGATGTTATTCAACGAGTATAATCCAGTGAAATAAATTTGGAAAGAGAAAAATAAGGGACATTAAGAATTCAGAAGATTAAAATTTGGGGGAACACAAAGAGTGGATGCACCTGCACCATTGCAAACGATTTTCAGCCATGTCATCCAAGGTCTCTAACCATCAGTTGCTATCGTCTCACGGATCTCAACCAGATAGTCTACACCTACTAACATGACTCAGTCTACTTTTCAGTGACTTGATGGATTTTTGCCATTACGTAAGCTATTCTATGGTGTATGCTACTTATATCTATTGACATAAATAGCATGTAACACTAATCGGAAGTGAAAACGCTGGCAGTAGAAAACAGTAGAAACAGAAATAGAAAGAAATTGTCATCTTGAAGAATCATATTGAATTTGTAAGACAAATGATAGAATTTTACAAATGAAGTATTCAATGTATGGTTCGTATAGTTTATCAAATGTTTATTTATGTATGTTCATTTATATGTATAATTATCTGAATTGTTTATTCCTTTAAATTGCAAATGATAACTATCACATTAAGTGTACTTTTATTTTGATCTGCATGTTTCATTCTATTGCACATTCTCAACCAACCAACCATCCACACACACACATACACACACACTTGCACTCCAAGTATCATAATACATAATCGGATTATGATATTGATTCATTTGGAATTGTTATGCATGTGTGTGTGTGTGTGTATCCACTTCGTCGTAATTAACTTACTTTAATGATGAAATTAGCAGTTATAAACAATGTTATAAGTTGATCAATTTGTTATTCTGTCCTCCTGGTACTCGAGTGCATACGCTCGAGAATGAGAAAGTGTATAATTCAACTATCAAATCCTATGTGTGCATTTCTTAATGGTAAATCACGAGAATTCGTTGAATGTGTACTCATGGGATCTGATTTTGTCAGTTGAACTCAACTCACTTATTTCGTTAAAATTTAATCTACACTTTTGAATTTATGTATTCACTTTGTACGGATTTGTTTGTGCTTAGAGATAACATTTAAACCCTCCAATGCCCTGGTACGGCCGAGAATGGGTAGAGTCAGCTCTCCCTCTCGAAATGATTTCAAATGGTCACGTGCATACAACCATTGTTAGGGTAATCCTACTCATTGATTTCTCGAGGCGGGGGTGCTTTTTTTACGAAATTGAGAGGACGAAATCCAATGATACCCATGGGCTCTAGGATCCTGAGGAAAAAAATTGCGTACGAACCAATTATTCGTTACCGGCAACATGAAATTACATCTCCTGACGTTACTCCACAGCCTTGTGAACCAGACCTTTAGGTCAAAAACTCTGGGTGTGGCCCTGTAAGAAAACCACTTGCTTCGGTTTGGGCACCCGAGCGGTATCCCAGCCCTCAGAAAAATCTGATGATTTATGTGGCGCATATCTATTTGGTGCTTCCTTGTACCAATGTTTATGTGTTTAAATAAATTAATTATAGTACTGTTTCTCGCTTAGCATGTTGACCTTAGACATTAATACTGTCGGATGCCGGCGGTCTCAATGATCTAGAGGTTAAGTATTCGCGCGCGAGACCGATTAGTCCTGATTTCGAATCTCTCGAGCGGAATTGTGGATGCGCACTGTTGAGGAGTCCTATACTATGACGAAACGGCCGTCTAATATTTGCGGAATTTCCAAAGTGATCCAGCTTCAATGGACTCGTGAATTAAACTATAAGAAAAGAACTTCACTACATTGATATATTTGTAATAAATAGTTTCGAATATTGAACACTCCACTCCAATATGCAATACTCACTAAATAAATGTTAAAATCCTTGATATTGTTTAATAAAACATAGACTGTTCTTTTGAGTTTTACCTTTTATCAGTTAGTCTCTGAATAGTTATTTTACATGGAATAATCGATTTTCTTTAGTACATCCCGTATATTCAATCTTGAGTCACCATTTCTCTACTTTACACTTGTAGTCTTGTTGTTGTTGCTACCTTAATGTGGTGGTCAAGCTTGCCTATCGTGATGAACCAACTCAGCTATACTGGCTGGAACAACTGTCACTCAAATTCCTACTATGCCAGACAGATCGATTGAAGACCGGTAAGAATAAAAGCAATAAATCCAAGGTCCAACGATGAAGTCGTACTGCTGACTGTACAGAGGTGTGACAGCAGTAAGCTATCTCCTTCAGACAACCAGTATAACAGTGCTGCTGCCTTTCCACAAGGAGGGGTGGGGTTAGAAAAGGTCGACCCTTAAAATGCACACCTTGCCTTATCCCATGGATTTCGGTCTACGGCGGTAAGGTCTCAACAAGTACGGAGCTAACACGAGAATTACTCATAAAAACGTCGTGTGTGACCGACCTCAAGCAGCTGTCCCTTGGGCACTGCGGTCACGCTCTCAGGTCACTATGACCACCTCTAATCCAGTTTCGTTTTGAGGTACGCCCGCTGACTGAGTGACTTTGGTCGTAACAAGAAAGTGATCTTCAGTTTTTAATTAATCTTTCGTATTTAGATTAATACGCCTAATCCTTACACTTCAATCAGTAATAACTCAATCAAATGGTAAAGATACTTAATTAATATTATTGAAATCCACCTAACCTTAATTCTTCATTGAATATTATCCACAGAGCAATATAAATACTAAAACCACCTACTAACCATGTACTGATTCATGTACTCGGCTTTATATCACGTTTTTAGTATGTGAAAAATAGTGTTACAACTGTCTGGTAGTTACCGAATGTAATTTTTTTGGACCCACTAATTCATTAATTTAAACGATTTACCAGTGAATAATTAAGGTTCATCACTATGAAAAACCAGGCGTTTTATTCAGCGTATCGCTAAATCCATGAGTGGTATAATTATGGTATAGGGATTAGTTTGAGCTATTTGTTATGTTCACTATCTGATTAACGCTTAATACGGTATACAACTACGGTACTCGAACGTATAGAACAGTAGGAATATCAGAAGACGGAAGTAAGCTACAGAAGGTATGTTATACTGCTGTCCAATAGTAGAATACCATGTTGTTATTCTAGAAAACTCCATTACGTTCTGATTGAATAGAAACTATTCGTCTTCTTTAAGGCCTATAGAGCCTACGTCATAGTTCTCGGAAATCGTTTTTTAACACTATTCTTTAAAGAACCATAATGAATTTTCACTTGTCATCAACTAATTAGTAAACATTTATCGTAAATCAAAAATTTATGGGGAAAAGGGTTCTTTATTTTTACAAGTTTTTCTATCTGAAAATCGAAAATATTGACTTATAAGTTCATGTATATAGATTAAAAATTTTCTTATTCTCAAATACTTAAATAGTTAATAAGTAGTCAGTACATTGATCCTACTGATGATTTATGTTATACATACAATCTATATGTAAATAATTGAACTTTACTTAATATATCTAAGTTCTTCCTTTTTGAATTTCGCTCAAAAATTTAAATTGATTTTCTCGATTCTGATTGGCTTCCTTTACACATTACTCATACCTTATAATTAACCAATAGGATTTAAGGTTATAATGAACTTCATTCTGATTGGTTATTTCGATATATTTGATAAGTATTGTTTTATGTTAATTAATTTATTTTAACACAGATATTGTTACAAAGAGGCACCAAATACATATGCGCCACACAGATTTCATTTGATATGTGTGAGAGCTGTAATACCGCCCGGATGCCAAGAACGAAGCAGGTGCTTTTCTTAGGGGGGGGGGCACACCCCGAGACTTCGACCTGTAGATCTGATCCATAAGGCAGTGGTGCATCGTAAGGAGATGTAGTCCCATGGAAGCCGGTGACCAACAATTGGTTCTTACGCTATTTGTTCCTTTAGGATACTGGAGTCAACGTGCACCATTGATTTGGGATCCGTTTATAGCGTCGGACATTCACTTTTCTTCGTCTCATTTTGGTAAACAACTCCCCGTTGATGGGAATGCAGTGAATAGGACTTCCCTGGCAGTGTCTATATACTCATGGCCACGTGAGAGCATTCGTAAGGGAGAGCGGACTCTCCCCATTCTCGGCCGTACCAGGGCATTAGGGGGCTTTATGTTAATATCCGAGTTAGAATTAATCATTTAAAACTATTTTATACAAATTTAAGAAAATATTTGTAGATATTTTCAGAAGTTGGTTTTTTTGGAGATTTTTAAAAATAATTTAATCATTGAATTCAAGAATAATTAAAGCTAGATCATTATGGGAAATCTGAAAACACTAGATAATTGTTTCGTCCTAACACAAGACTCCTCAGCAATGCACATCTCTTATCCCGCTCGTGTGATTCAAACCCAAGACATGTTGGTCTCGTGTGTAAACGCTTAACATTTAGACCATTGAGTTGACAACTAACGATGTTGGATCATTTACTAATCAATTAATATATATAGAGTGAGATTTGATATGATTATATTGGTTTGTATTCTATAACAAACATTATCATATATTTCTCTTCATATAGATTTCATACAACGATACCTAAATTTTTCATTTTTGAATTTCGCTCAAAAATTTAAACTGGTTTTCTCGATTCTGATTGGCTTCCTACATACATTACTTATACCCAATAATTAACCAGTAGGATTTGAGATCACACTGAACTTTATTCTGATTGGTTATTTACCAATTACCTGATACGTATTGCTTTATATCTATATCGCAGTTTTTCAGAGAAGTAGGTTTTTATGGAGATTTTTTAAAAATAATTTAATCATTGAATTCATGAATGAATTAAAGCTTAATCACTATGTGAAGCGTGAAAACACTAGACCATTGTTTCGTCCTAACACAAGACTCCTCAGCAATGCACATCTCTTATCTCGCTCATGTGATTCAAACCCATAACTTGTCAGTCTTACGTTCAAACGCTTAAAATTTAGACCATTAAGTTGAAAACTAACAATGTTGGATCATTTGCTAGTATATATATAGCTTTGATGTAACTATCTTGGTTTATATTCTATATAACAAACATGATAACTTGTTTCTCTTTATATAGATTTCATACAACTCGTTCAGGTAAATTATATCTTCATACAGATTTACGTTTAATATTTTCACGTGATAAATTTGAATTTGATCCACGTATAGCAACATATGAATTACGTTCATTTATTGATGCTCCATCAAATCCACGTTATTCTCCTAAAAAATGGTCAACACGTCATCATAAATCAATTCATCATTGATATATTACATAATACAAGAAATGATTCAATGAATGTTGCCTCATTTTTTTTTTGTTTTTTCGTTTTCCATGAATCAATTCCAATTTAAGATGATTAAACATTCATTCAATGATTTACTTATTTTCATAAACATATACAAGTATCAATAATTATATCTATATATCTCCCTCTCTCTCTATATATATATATATATATATATATATACCCCCCTCCTTGACATCTATGTTTGTTAATATTGTTTAAGTATTTGTTCATGTGCATGAGCTTCAGTTCTCCGTTTTTTTTTTGTTTTTTTGGTGTTTATTTTCTTACTGTGATATTATCTCCTTGGGTTATTGATGTATACCCACTCACCCACGTATATATATACATTGCTTTTTACTTTTCTCTCTATTCTTTAATATACTAACTATATATCACTACATAGTTGTGCATTTTGTTTTCTTTTTTGTGCCTATATATTCAGTCGTTACGGTTAAACTGAATACTATTATTACTACTACTACTACTATAATGGTATGGGTTACTTATATCCATATTAGTAGTATAAAACGGTAGTGAGGCATAGAATGTATATCAGTAGAAGATCAATAAGGGAAAGAACAAATAAAAAAAATGGAACTCAATTCATATGAATATACATAAGTAATGAAATCTGAGATAATGGATTAATATTTGGCAAATTAACTATTTACGATATACTTCTTAGATTTTAGTGAAATACTTCTGTAATTTTGTGTTCCAGATACATTCGATTGTCCCTACTAGTGTTTACGTTCATTACACTAATACTAATACTACCACTACTCTATTGGTTTATTATTATCTTTCTGACTATCGTTTATCCATCCATTCATCCATCTATTCATCATTTTGGTTAGTTTGGGAGAATATTCACCTTTTTACTGTGTGTGTGTTTGTGTTTTGTTTCTCTCTCTCACTCTCTCTAAATATTCCACATGTTGATGAATTCCATACAGATCCATATAATTTAATATAAAGCTACAAAATCCTTTATGAATAAGAATTCAATAACATGCCATTGTCTATGTACGAGTGAATAATTCATTTCTTATAATATTGGATAGGAATGGATTGACAATGTATATACTACTATTCTTATCATTTATATTACCCTGGATATTGTTATTATAACTTACCATTTCGTACTACTTCAATGCGTTAGTTATTTGTACACACTTGAGCATATATACCCCTCTGATAATATTTGCCATTTAGTATCATAGTATCTATGCACACACACACACACATGCAGTGCTAGTCAGTGATGTTGACTTGATTTTATGATTACTTCTATTATCATTCATCACTTAGTGATTAGTTACAAACTCGTTTTTTTGTTGTTGTTGTTGTCGTTACTGCTGTTTATTTCTCCATTTCTTTTGTTTGTTTGATTTTACTTCTAAAGATTGGTTGTTTTGTTTCTTGAAATGTCTTTCTATATTAGTTGACTTGTTATCCATTCATCCATCCATCCTATTTTGGCAAAGGATTAATGTTTTTTTCGGTTTCTTTAATAGTTTTATTTTCATAGTTGTGTCTTTCATCATTTGTAAATTGTTTGAATAGAATAGATGAAATGTTTTTTTTTTATAAACTGTGTATGTATTACTCTTATTCATTCCCAACTGAATCACTTATACAAGTAGTACATTACGCACACAGATTCCATACTAAATGTATTCATAATAATAACATTACTTACCGCCTTTTTTGTTTCTCCTCTCCCAATCGTGTAATGTTTCATAGTTGTGAAGGATGTATGGTGATGGTGAAGATGACGATGACGATGATGATATGTTTACCTAGTGATTAGTACTTACCCTCTATTTTTGTTTCTCTTCTACCAATCGTGTAATGTTTCATGGTTGTCAAGGGTGTATGGTGATGATAATGATGATCATATCTTTACCTAGTGATTAGTACTTACCCTCTATTTTTGTTTTTCTTCTGCCAATCGTATAATGTTTCATAGTTGTGAAAGGTGTATGGTGATAATGAAGATGATGATCATATCTTTACCTAGTGATTAATAAATAATACTCATTATATTGATCAATAAATTATTGAATTATGATCATCTATGATACACTAGTAACATGATATTATAACAGAAGATAAGTTCAACACGTACAAACATATATATGGATCTATTGACAAGAATTGATTTTTACAATCAATTTTACAGACTATTCCTTGTTTACATACCTCTATCTCTTTATATATGTTTGGATATATATATATATATATATATATATATATATATATATATATATATATATATGCACACAATTCGTTTGTATTCTCATTATTGATTGATTATTCACAATCAATCAATCAATATTATAAAGATACTTGTTTGATTCTTTGATATTTCTTTTATAATGTCCAATAATCGATTCATACACATACATACATACACACAAACATTCATAGTAACATGTATACTCATTTACACTTAATCACATTCTGTGATGTAATTTAATCTTGTTTGTATGTATATGTCTATTAATGCCTTTATTCAATACAAGAATGTATTGTTTAACTACCTTCATTTATGTCATTTCATTATGGGGGTTATTTTATTTTGTCTTGGTGTTATTTTCTTTTTCTTTTCTTCTAATTTTTTTTTGTTTGTTTATCTATTGATATTATTTTCTGTATTATTTATTGAGAAATATGGATTGTCACAAGTGTTGGTGTTGTTGTTGTTGTTGTTACCTTGGTTTTTGGAATAACTGTAGGAAGGTCTTAGTAACAAAATGATTTCGTTCAGGAAAATCTTCATTTCGTATATATATATATATATATATATATATATATATATATATATATATATATATATATATATTACTAAGAGGAGGTCCACCAGGGTGTTTGGTACCTGTATGGTTACATCACAGAATCGAGCTGTACTATTCCGATAGTAGTATTAAAGCCTATATGGTGTTTGATTCTCCTGTGAAGCGGGATTGAGCTGTATTGCTCAGTTTATAAAATTTAAGCCTGGGCAGTGTCTGACTCGCCTGCATCTTAGAGTTGATTTTCACTCTGAGACTCGAACCCAGTACCGTTCGCTTCAAACTCTATCGCGTTATTCACTTAGCTACTGAGAAGCTGATAGCCACTTAGTTGTGCAATGGGGTGGAGTTATATTCACTTGATGTTGTTTACTTGTATCTTCTGATTGCTATTTAGGACTAACTGATCAGACTCTTGTTGGTATATGTGCATCCTGTGCAGATCGCATTGATGTTTCTCTTTAAACTATTGATTAGTAAATAAGCTATGTGCTTTGATGGTATTATTGTAAACGTCTATGAATAAATGCTACAATTAACTCGATACATCTTGAGTTACAATATTCCCTCATAACTTCAAGGCAATCATATATGGTCCATTGTAATGATAAAGTTAGGGTAGGATACTTTGTTACTAACGCCTGTTACTCCTCGTGGAAGAGCATAAGCCGCCCATCAGGGTGGGATAGACTTTGATAGTAATAATATGATGGATTGATTCGTTTAATTTTTGAACCCTTATGTATATCTTTCAATCATCATACAGTAAAAATGTAATTCACTATGCTGTTATATATAAAGTTGTTCAGGCAAATTGATCGGTTGTGTTCCACATTTCCTGCTCGCATTACATTATATATATTGTGATTATTCAGTGGAATAGATGTGGATGCCAAACGGAACCAACGTACAAATCTCTAAGTGAATAAACTTTGAAATAGAAACAACTGACCTGGTGCTTAAATATTCATTGGGATATTGACAAATGATCAGTGGGTGTTAACTAGTGTCATGTTTATCTAACTATTAACAATGGTGGGATTCGATCAATCAAGTTTGTTTTAACACTCACTAACTTGGTTTTCCGTAATTAATACTTATTTTTGTTACCCCTCTTCAAGGATCATAGGCCGACCATTAGCATTCTCCATCCAACGCTACTGGACAATCTTATCCACTCATTTCGAGTCGCTATTCATCCTTTAAATGTCCGATTCCGATTCCCTTCAGGATTCCATATAAGGTCTTTCTTCATGATTTAGTTTTATGATCCACAAAGTGTATTTCTTATCCACTTTCAAAGTCATTCCTGATTTCCTCTTCATATCGAACTGGGTTTGTCCTATCCAGAGTAGACTCTTGCTGATGGTACCCTATCAATGCATATTCAGTATCTTCAGTAGATAATTGTTTATAATTACTTGTACATTTTCGATGATGGTTGTAGTAGTTCTACACGTCTCAGATCCTTAGAGTAGAATTGTGCTGATGTTTGTATTGAAGATTATGACTTTGATGTTGGTTTGAAGACAGTTGTTTTGAGTCCCAGATATTCTTCAACTGTAGGAATGCTCCCCTTATTTTGACAATACTCGCCTTTAAATCTGCATCAGATGCTCTACGTTCATCGACGATATTACCCAGATATGTGAAAGATTCCTCCTGTTTCAGAGTTTCTTCATCAAATGTGATTGTATTTGTGTTCTCTGTGTTTTATTTGAGGATCTTGATTTTTCTATTGTGTATGTTGAAGCTTATTGCTACAGAGGCTTCTGATACACTGTTTGTCATCATCTGTATTTGTTGATGCATATGGGATAGAAAGGCCAGGTCATTTGCGAAATCCAAATCTTCTAATTGATTTCGAGCTATTCATTGTATTTCGTGCATCCCATTTAGATGTAGAAGTTTTCATAATCCAGTCGACCACCACCAGAAGAAAGAGACAGGGGGGAGTAGGCAGCCTTGTCTAACTCCGGTTCTTACTTGGAATAAATCTGAAGCTGTTTTTCATGCATGACTCTGCACTGTAGTCCGTCGTATGAATTCCGTATGATGTTGAAGATATTCTCAAGTACTCCATATCGTCGAAGAAGTTTCTATGATGTTCTCCTATCCCTACTGTCAAATGCTTTCTTATAATCAAGAAAGTTGATGTATAGTGACGAGTTTCATTCAATCGATTATTCAACGATCACTCATAGTGTCGTGATTGTGTGAATTTAACTTTAGCTGACACTGGGTAAAGTTGATTTGAATCTCATGAAATTCAACAGTACCTTCGATATTCAAGATAAACTTTAACAAACAGTTACATTTAACCATTCAATCAGGGCTTCCTACCGATTACCACAAATCATTTGACGTATATTAGTTGCTTTTCAGTTTACAAACTGTTATAACGCTCGGTTTTACTTCGTCTAAAGTTATAACGGTTAGGTTTCCACGTATGGGAGGTTAAATTACGTTAGACGAATATCTATACTAGATTTACCCCCCCACAAGTGTCTATTCTACAGGACGTCAACACAACTCAGATTAAGAACATGTGTTTAGCCTAACTACAACGTAAATATGTTTTCACAACAAAAAAACCGACTTAATCCAACAACAACGAACAATCTCACTGGTTGAAATCATGAGTCAATTGAAGCTAGATCATCATGAAAAACCTAGAAGCATTGGACGGCCATTTCGTCCTAGTGTGGGACTCCTCAGCAGTGCGCACCCACGACTCCGCTCACTGCGAGACCCGAACCCTGGACCTATCAGTCTCGCGCCAGGCGCTTAACCAACTAGACCGCTGAACCGGACGGCATACAACGGTGTTAATGTTAAACTTCAACCAATCCACGAAGTTGCGCTACCGTACACTATTGTCTTCAGTGAATAATGAACAATCAATTATAAGTGAGTCATAATAATAATAAGGATAGGGGAATATATAGCTTATCTGACAACAATCAAACTATCTACATGTCTGACTAAGCTGACAACCATTCATTATCATTCTCGCCTACACATCACAAACAAATAAATAGGGACATAAATATTATTGGCTTTACTCATTAATATACTAGATGGTGAACTCATCATTTGAAGTATTTAGTGTTTAACTTAAACATGACAATGCCATTAGGTAGCATCATCGATAAACACGGTGGATCTGATGCAGATGTGAAAGCGCGGATCGGCAAAACAAGAGCAGTATATTTACAACTGTAGAATATCTAGAACTCAAAACAATTGGCAACCAATACGAATGTCAGAATTTTCAATACAAATGAGACGGAAACCTAAAGAACTACGAACGCCATCATCTAGAAGATACAAGTGTTTATTAATAGTTGTCTACGCAAAATATTTCGAATCCGTTGACCGGACACTATTAGCAACAACCTACTGTGGGAGAGAACAAATCATATCCCAGTGAAAGAAGAAATCAGAAAGAAGCGCTGGAAGTGGATAGAACACACATTGAGAAAAGCACCGAACTGCGTTATCACAAGACAAGCTGTCACATGGAATCCTCAAGGTCGAAGGAGGAGAGGAAGACCAAAAAACACATTACACTGGCAAATGGAGATAGACATGAGGAAAATGAACAAGAATTGGATGGAACTAGAAAAGATGAAGGCCCAAGACAGAGTGGGTTGGAGAATGCTGGTCATCGGCCTATGCTCCATTAGAAGTAACAGGCGTAAGTAAGTAAGTAATGCTATTAGTTGACTAAACCAACTGCGGCATATATTTCTTCAATCTCTCATATAAACGTTACTGATGCCTGTTCATATACATGAATTATTGGATAAACATTTAATAGAATTGGATAAAGAAAGACCATACTGAACCATCCTATTATAATCAATAGAAAAATGTTATTGATTAGAAGTGATAGTGATGAGTCAAACATTTTTTAAAAAAAACAAATGTATTCTGAAAATGAGTCATTTCTTTTATATAATCACCATCATGACAACAATATTTATATTAGAAATGTACCATTTTATAGATGAAGAATGTTCATATGAAAGATCAGACATCTATAAAAATTGATATAAACCATTAGTTCCTAGTACTGATTAACGGATTTGTAGGCCCATTTATTTTGTATAATCATTAATCAGACAAACGAACGGGGAGGTGATGTGAAAAGAAGATAACGAAGCAAAAATGACGCACGGTGGAGAAGGCGTTTGAGTCAACTCCCATTTAACCAAGCGTTAATCATTATTTATAGTTACACAAAAATAAGTTACAGACAAGTGATGAGTAATGGGATAAGAGATGTACACACACCTACGCCTTCATATAAAAACAGTCAAGATTGATAAGCAAATAATTAGCAAGGTAAGAATGTGACTCAAGTAGAATGAATAGATTGAGCTGTCCGAAAGCTAGAATAAGGTATATGGGCTTAACATAATAACTGACACTACAGACTAAACAAAAAA